AAATATATATATATATATATATATATATATATATGATATATAAAGAAAGGATATATATATATATATATATATATATATATATATATATATATATATATATATATATATATATATATATATGAAAGAATATATATATATATATATATATATATATATATATATATATATATATATATATATATATATATATATATATATATATATATATATATATGAAAGTATATATATATATATATATATAGGATTACTTGGGAAAGGTATGAATCCAGTTATGAGTAAATAGCAGGAAAGACTGGGTCCTATAGCCTTGGATAGCAAATGGTTTACAAGAAGAACAACTCTGTATTCAAAACCAGCTGAGGGTTGTTTGAGGACGTTTTGGCACACGGCCCACCAGGTCTCTGTATTCGGCTCTTTAAAAAGTGTGGTTGTTCTGCAGAAAACCTTCACCACTATAATCAAATCATACGTGCATGTTGTCTGGCCGTCGCTTCCTAGGAACTGACTGCCATGACCCTTATACGTCGTAAAAGGGTTCCTGTAGGCGCGGGTCAACAACCCGCGTGGATCAACGATGTAAGAGTCCATATATATATATATATATATATATATATATATATATATATATATATATATATATATATATATATATGTGTGTGTGTGTGTGTGTGTGTGTGTGTGTGTGTGTGTGTGTATGTGTGTGTGTGTGTGTGTGTGCTTAAGTATTCCGATATAATTAAAAAATATATCTGTTAAAGGACAATATTAATTAAGACAAATAGAAGGCTTAACTTTTGTCCCCTGATGGACATTATCATAGCAAATGTATTCATAAACGGAAGTAAAAAATGTTGTTGAAAAAATGCAACAATAAGAACAGGATTAGACGTTAAATTACATCACTTCGCATCCTCCATAATTTACCTTGGCTTTCAGTTAGCCTAATGTATACTCATGAATGTTCTTAGATTTAAATATTCTGAAGAACTAACGAAATTCTTACTTGTGTTTAAAAATACCTGTTGCAAAAAATAAAATCGTTAAATTTGTCTTGATAAAGACCATCGGAGAACGAAACGGATCGGCTAAGGTAATGTTTCTTCTTGTCTTTGCACACACACACACAAATGCACACACACACACACACACACATATATATATATATATATATATATATATATATATATATATATATATATATGGACAGACAGACAGACAGATAGATAGATAGATAGATAGATAGATAGATAGATAGATAGATGGAAACAATAAGATAGATAGATAGATAGATAGATAGATAGATAGATAGATAGTAACAATAAAATAGATAGATAGATAGATAGATATGTAGGTAGGTAGATGGGTAGATAAATTTCTATGACTTACTTTTCGCGTGAATGTTTTGCACTGAACTCTTTTGTTTATCTATTCACTATTAATGCCCTTTTTTTTAAATATTGACCACTTTATTTGAAAAAAGAAATTTGCTCGCCTTAAACAGCAGAAATTCGCTGGTTGATCTGCTTTGTTAGAAGTAATGTATTCTTATTATTATTATTTCTTCCCTCGCTCGCTTTTCACACACACACACAACACACAACACACACAACACACAAACACACACTGATATATATATATATATATATATATATATATATATATATATATATATATATATATATATATATATATATATATATATATGTATATTCGTCAGTGTGCTTTTCACAATATGCCTATCTCTCTAGCTGTTTTCTATCTTTTTTATACACGTATACACACGGACCTCAATACAGATAATTATGATCCCTCCTTACACAACCGAATCAGACACTCATTCAGTATCGATTTGTATTACAACACCAGCTGTTAACGAAACATGTGTCAGTCGCCTTAGCCATCTGTCTAACCGGGGTTTCCTCTATTTCTCATTAAAACTGTCAGACAACATATACCCAGCAGCAAAATACAGGTGAGTATACGCAAAGCCGCCCCTACACGATTTGGATTCGTAGCTGCGCATCAGCGAAGAGACCTCGGCTAAAGATTTTTGCTGTAAAATTTAAAAGTCAACTGGTTATAGCATTTCACGTCCAGACCTGAATCTGAAAGGAAGAACGAATACAATTTTACACGCATACACACAACCGCGGATACACGGGCGTACACAGACGTACGTACACACAGGTACCCACACATACATAAACATACTTTAATATTTACATAAACTAGCACTCTTTTGGATTTATACCGTCTTGATCGCCAATTAATTTTTTCTTTCTTTTTCTTTTTCTTTTCACCAACCACACACACACACAACTGATACATTCGCCAACGTCTTTTTCCATCTACCTTTCTTTCTTTCTTTCTTTCTTTCTTTCTTTCTTTCTTTCTTTCTTTCTTTTTATAGTACCATGGTGACGAAGATGGCGGCTGGACACATGAGTTGGCAATGCTATTTCTCTTTGCATCGTCTCACACATTAAACAATAACACTAAGTCAGTTTTACGCGAGATTTCACCAACCATTTAAAATCGCGATATATATATATATATATATATATATATATATATATATATATATATATATAGCATGAAACATAAAAATGTGAAAGTAAAATTGATTTACTGATTCACACGCCTCCTAAGATACATAAACAAGACATATTCATACAACCCAACACGCCCATCCATCTGCAGGTACAAATGATAAATCCTATCTTGGGACGATTCAAAGGACTTCCTGAACGAACAGCTATCAGTTCATATTCAGTGTGAAGTGAAGATCCATTACTGTACAGAAGTGCTCAACTATAAACATCTTCAAAGGATACCGATTGTTACCATTCCAGATACACAGTCAATCTGGCGGTAATGCCTTGGCTATATATAACTTGTGTATTTACATTACTAAGTTTGGCAGAGGTAAGCATTTGTTTTGTTTTGTTTTTGTTTTGTTTTTTATTTTAACAAAATATCGAATATTTTTGTCACTTGACACGTTATTTTTGTTTGAGAGTCATATCTTTATGTATGGGAATTACTTAAATTTTATAAATGAACTGTGACTGCAACGGAAGAAAACCGTATTGGTTTATTTCCCACCCCTCTGGATTCTATCGTCAATAATAAAAAAAAAGGTGATGTTGAAATATGAGACAGCTTAAGATTTCTACAGCTCCTGCCCATTCATCTCCCGAGGCAGACCGACGGGAACGTATAAGTTTGGATAATACCAATTTTATTGTGAAATCTTTGATTTGTAAAACAAAAACGGACACAGAACAGAATAAACAATGGGTAGCTTATAGAAAATAAAATAAATCGCGAATGAAAATGGGAAAACTTTTTAGTGTAGTTATAAATTCGTATCGTACTTAGTTTATTTGCATATAATAAAGAGACGGCGGGCGGTGTTATGGTTAACGGGTCTGAATGAAAAATCACAGTGTATGAATTCCAGTAAGGTTGCGCTCTAGTGCCTTTGGGAAAATCATAAATCCATCTCCTCCCCACCTATGGATTAAATAGTTTAACTTGTATCTGAAATAAAAAAATCATTGTTATTGTCAAAATATTGTTAATGAAGAATACATCCGCAAATAGAGTTATTCTTACAATCTAAAATGTGTTTCGTCTAAAAATAAACCACTAAGAAGTTGAAAAACCGTAAAAAAAAAACCAATCAATAAGTTGCCACACAACAAATTATTATCAATATTTGATTAAGCACATATACGATAAACTGAATTTCAAACAATATATAGCCTAAATAAAAAAATATCTCCTGAAATTCGAACAATATATAGTCTATATGAATATAAATATATCCTAAATATAAAAAATTATATCCTGAAACTCAAAAAATATATAGCCTATATAAATATAAATATATCCTAAATTAAATATATATCCTGAATTTCAAACAATATATGGCCTATATGAATATAAATACAGCCTAAATAAAATATACATCCTGTAATTCAAACAATATATGGCCTATATGAATATAAATATATCCTAAATAAAATATATATCCTGAAAATGTTACAACAGCGATATCTTAACACCAATTATATTTTTAAAATATTAAATCGTATCATGAAGTGATACATATAATATTCCAACATGAATTTTCTTCCCCAAATGATAAAAGTCTAACTTTAAAGATTCTCCAGCAATATGCATTGTTACAATTAAAATTAAACAGACAATGCGGTGTTAATGCCCTTGATATATTTCTTCTGTGTATTTACATTATTTAGTATTACTGTGGTAAGCATTTGTTGTTGTTTTTTTTTTTTTCACGTAGCCATAAGATGAAATTATTCGATATTAATAAAGATGATCAATATATTGAATATTTTTATATTTTTGTTCCTTGCATGACTTCTGTATGATTGTAAAGTATGTATAAGATTTTGTCAAAGTTCTCGAAAGAACTGACCACAGAAAGAAAGGGGTACGACAAACGCGTGTCTCTGTATTACCGGGAATGAATGGTCAGTATGGCGACACTATCAGTTCCATAATATAAAACTAGACACTTTATCTTCGTCTAGATAATACATGATTGGTTCAATCGTTGAACAATTATATTCATATGATTTAAATTTCAATGCAAAATAGTTTATTCATTTTCACTAAATGTTAGATAGATAGATAAATAGATTTTTATTAGCGACATATCAAACTCTATGGGTTATTTAATGCCGAAATCTAAAAATTTTGTGCACATTTTTCTTTTTTTAATTAATTGTTTTAGTGATACACGGCTTACTAATTAACCCATAGCTGGGGGTAAAGTGATTAATATAACGAACATAACTGTAATGGGAACTCAGTAACACTCGGATTAATAATTCCGAACCATTATTCATTACACCACCCACACATCCATGCTTATAGCACTAGATATTCCCAAGTGGTCACTCATCTAGATACTGACAAGCTCGACGTTGCTTAACTTTAGTGATCGTACGAGAACCAATGTTTCAACTTTATGCGGCTGTAAGCAGATAGATAGATGAAGAGATAAATATAGAATGAGATAGATAGATAGATAGATAGATAGATAGATAGATAGATAGATAGATAGATAGATTTTTTAAAATTATCAGCATATCAAATACTATCGGTTATTTTATGCCGAAATCTAAAAATTTTGTACACAATTATATTTTTTATATATATATATATATATATAATTGTTTTAGCAATGCATGCCTTATTGATTAACCCATAGCTGGAGGGAAAAGAAGTGGATTCATACCTTTGCCAAGGGTATTTAGTCGTGTGAATATAACGAATCTAACAAGAATAGGAAGATGGTTAACAGTCGAATTAATAAATCCGAAACATTATCTACTGCACCATCCGCACATCCAGACTTAGAGCAGCGGGTATTCACAAGCGGACAGACTCGACGTTGCCTAACTTACATACAGGAACCGATGTTTCAATGTTATGTGGCTATATGTATATATTGTCGGCATTCGTCCGTCTCGAGAGACGATGGCGTGCGGGATATATGGAGAACTAGGGCTGCTCGGACGTCTAGTTCCCCGCCTCGGCCTTGCTAGCAGAATCCAAAAGAGAGGATAAGCCAATACAATTTGGTACCAACGCGGCTGCAGGAGTTGACGGAAGGTAGCACAAAATGCCGTCCATCCGCCTTAGGGGCTTCACTCCGGGTTTGAATTCAGAGTTGACCAGTTGCAATCCAAGGCTATAGAACCCAGTCTGTCCTGCTATTTACCCATAGCTGGAGAGAGAAGAAGAGGATTCACACCTTCCCCAAGGGTATTAGCACGTAATATTCGACTGAATTCAAACTCGAATTCCTTAAACCAAGCCGCTATTCATTGCTCCACCGTGCCTTCTCAATATATATATATATATATATATATATATATATATATATATATATAAAAAAGAACTTTTGAACCTCATTCTCTGTGCTTCATTTTTGTCACTTGTTAATATCAATAAATGTTTTTCGTACTGATATCATCGGTACCCTTTCCTTTGACTGTGTTTTATTGACCAACTCATCTACTCTATATATATATATATATATATATATATATATATATATATATAGATAGATAGATAGATAGATAGAGAATGAGTTAGATACGGAAGAAGATAGATAGATAGATAGACTGACAGACAGACAGACCCCAGATCAATGCAGTTACATAACAAAGTGATACTGAGCTATGTATGTTTGATTTTTACATTGTTATCAAAATATCGAGTATTTATAGCCTGTTGGTTCGTTGCATTGTTTTCGGAAGTCATAGAAGCCTTTTTCTTTATGTGAATTGCTTATATTTCGCAAATAAACTGACCAAGCAAAAAAAGGTATCAGAAAAATTAATAAGTTGTGTCCTGAACAATTCTGTCTTCTTTCCTTGTATCCTTTGTATAGTTCCGTTGTGATTCAATTCAGTCATTTTTCTTTAAAAAACAACTTAGCCTTCGTCTAAATCCCAACTCATCGCTACAATCGCTAACTAATTATTTGCATATGATAAGCTTATCTTCATTTATCCTAATTAATTTAATTTCCCCAATGAACTGACCGCAGTAAAAAAAACAAAGAAGCACAAAAAACGCGTAACTCGTCATGCAGCGACATGAATGGATAACGTAAAGACTTTCGTTGTTCGTTATAAACATTGGCACTTTGCAATGGCGGCCACATTCATAAGATATGCATATGACACAATGTTGATACCAGACACGGAAAGAGAACTACAAAAAAAAAAAAACACATCTAAGTAAAGGAAAGCGAGAAGAAAGGATTAAACATCAACTGCAAGAAGAGAGAATGCATGGTTGCTAGCAAAAGGGGCAGCCCAACATGCAAATTACAAATTGGTGATACCAAAATGAAACAAGTACAAAAATTTAAATATTCATAGAATTGAACAGAAGTCGGAAAGTGCAAGATAGAAATCTGAAACCATATTGGAATAGCCAAAGATGACTTCCAAAAGCTAAGAAGAGTATTGCGAAACAACTTCCTTAGAAACAAAGAAAAGTCTAATGAACTATTACTTTTTTTTTTCAGTTCTAGCTATATGGCAGTCAATTCTGGACAATCTCTTCACAGTTGACGAAGATTTTTAAGGCAGCAGAAATGTGGTTCTATATGTAGATGCTGAAGATACAATGGACCAAACACGCGAGCAACGACAAAGTTTTAGAGACAATGGAGACAAAATGAACACTTATACTTAACAACAGGAAGAGATAGCTGAAATTTCTGGGACACATAATGAGGAAAGAGGATTGGAAAATCTGATACTCACAGGACAGGTTGAAAGCAAGAGGGAGAGGAAAACAATGCAGAACCTACTTAGCGAGCTTGGGTAAATGGATGATTGAACAAAGTTTAGGGGAATAACAAAAAGACAAATATATTAAGAGCTATAAAGGACATGAAATAGTGGAGAGTCATGTCCGCCTACGCCCTGACGGAAGACGGCAGATAGTGAAGAAGAAGTTCAGAACCGAATGAAACAAATACAATTTATAATAATTTTCATGGAGGTCTTTAGATAGATAATGAGTGTACACAAGCTAACGAATATAGACGAACAGAGATAGATAGATAGATAGATAGATAGATAGATAGATAGATAGATAGATAGATAGATAGATAATGAAGAGACTGCGATAAATAGATAGATCTAAACATGTTGGGATAGATACTAATAGACTGAGATAGATAGATAGATAGATAGATAGATAGATAGATAGATAGAGAGAGAGAGAGAGAGAGAGACAGAGAGACAGAGAGAGAGAGATAGTAAAAAACAATGTAACGAGTTTCGTAATTCAAATGGACTTCATCAGAGTGATGAAGGACTTTTGGGTCCTTTGAATGACGAAACACGTTACATAGAATTATTACATTTTTTCATTCAATTATCCACCCTTATTCTGATATATAGAGAATAAACATCATATTTTTCCCAGAGATAGATAGATAGATATGAAGAGATATAAGCATAGATAGATAGACAGATACATACATACATACACATACACACATAAATATAGACATAGATAGATAGACAGACATGAAGAGATATAGGCATAGATAGATAGATACATGCATACATGCATACATATAGAAGAAAGAAAGAAAGAAAGAAAGAAAGAAAGAAAGAAAGAAAGAAAGAAAGAAAGAGAGAAAGAAAGAAAGAAAGAAAGAAAATGATGGGATAGTTATATAGAAACATAAAGAGATAGTTCTGGACATGCTGAAATAGAAAGAAAGAAGGAAAGTAAGAAACCAAAAGAAAGAAAAGAAAAGAAAAGAAAGGATGAAAGAAACAAAATAAAGACCGAAAAGTATAAAAAAAAGAACAGAACAGAATATAAAGCAAATAAAAAAAGGAAGGAAAGAAAAAAAGGAAGGAAAGAAAAAAAGGAAGGAAAGAAAGAGGTAATACCAGAAACTAAAGATCTGGTTGATAATTTTACCTTGTTTTAAACCAATGGATATTTCATTTTACTTTCGCAGACTGATTGGTTTTTGTTATAAAAATCTTTATCTGACTACAACTACAAAGAGGCAATACTAATGCCCCTCTCTTAAATTAAAATTTTATAATTAAAATTACTCATCAAAATTTTTTACTAAGATATTTAACCGGTATATAGTTCCATATTATTTTATTTGAAAAGAAATTTATTTCTCAGGATTTATGCACAAACTTAAAATTCGTAGTAGATATACGAAATGTTTGCCTGAATGTTCAACAGAAAGTTGTAAGCGTGATAACCAGGAGGCAATAGCTTTGCGGATAGCGTCAAAAGGAATTTCATTCCAAGCTTCAATTAAATTCCACTTTAATGAATCAATATCGAAGAGATCACGACGACAGTTTTACAAGTGAGTTAGTCGTATACACCAGATACAGTCATCCCTAACATTCAGATCCGGGCTTTAAGAAAACCATTGAGATAGTATATATCAGTTATTATAAAAACCTACTTTTTTAGAAATCGAATACGTTATTCTTTCTATTTCCAAAGGCCCAAATGGTTCAATTTATTTATCATACAGCAGCAAAAAGAATTACTCTATAATCTATAATAGCACGACTGTACACTATGCTCAACACCGAACGTCGACAGTCTTTTTTACGCTTGATCGCAATATTTAGGCCAGAATGTTGCGCTCAAATATAAAACAGACTGTTGCCGCTCAGAATTGACCTCAGTGTCCATTTTTATATCACTTTTAACCATAAATACACTATACCTTAAAACTATATTTTTATCATATATATATATATATATATATATATATATATATATATATATATATATATATATATATATATTATATATATATATATATATATATATATATATAATTCAAATAGCCATGTCGGCAGTAACTGGTTACTACTATAAGATTTCATGTTCTTTCACACAATCAACAGGAAGTCAGTGACTTGTAATAAGATGAATACGCTATATACCACCGGGCGAGTTCAATTTGACAAAGCAAACCAAACCCACACGCTTGGAAGGAGTGTAGATCATCCAGCCAATATCTAAAATGGCAAGAAAAAAAAGTTGTTTTCCACCTGGAAAGACTTGCCAGTATAGCAAAAAGTGCTCAGTAAAGTGAAACTAGATCCACGGCACAGGAGCTGATGCCTTAAACTAAAATAATGCTCAGAAGTACCGGATAACCAAACTCTTCAGAGCATTTTATATATATATATATATATATATATATATATATATATATATAGAGAGAGAGAGAGAGAGAGAGAGAGAGAGAGAGAGAGAGACTCAGCAGATAAAGAAAAGTTCAAAGGATTTCGATGATACTCCGCTTGTCAGTGTATAAGAATGGTATATACGCGAAACATAAAGTCGGTCGCAAGATAAGCTCTTTGGAAATTTCTTAATCTGTTGAGATCACTTATTCGGAAATTTCTTTGAAACATTTGTTCGATTTTAAATGCTTTAAATTCTAGCAATTTTACTTTGGGTTTTGGGGCTTTTTTGGATTTTTGTTATTTTACATAATTATATAATTGAGTTCACTCCATGAAAAGCATTCAATCTTCTATGATACAAGGGGTCACTGGATGTGTAAGAATTAGAAACAGAAACATTATTAAGGAATAAGAATAAAGAAAGAGTAATCAGGGGGACATCAGATAGCGGTTGACAATGCAGTTAAATTTTTGAAGATTCAAATTGCTTGGAAAACATGGAGCGGGAAAGGAGTTTCTCAAGCGAGTAGTGTGAGAAAAGAAACTGTTAACATAGAAATTACGGCTACAACTAGCCATCTCAACAGTAAATTGATGAGACCTCATCGCCACTCTAGGACTGCCCTTTAAATTTTAAAAAGGACATGGTACGATAGCGAAGAGCTTATCCGAACAATTACAATGAAAATATTTATAGAAAAGGCAAAGAGAGGCAACCTTACGGCGATGGGAAGGTAACTGAAGATGAGATATTATTATTATTATTATTATTAATAATAGAATAAAATAATTCACTTGTTTCATGGATACCTCTTTCAGTATGGATCTCTTACTGAATTGAAAACTGTAGTTCACACATATATAGATCAACATATCACAAAGTAACATTAACATACGACAAATTGCTGTAGATGTTGATGAAGAAATAAGATTATCTTTAAAGAAATTAGGAAAAAAATAATATAAGCAATCAAATTGATATAAACAAAAGTAATGAGTTCATTAAATTATTTCATTAGGAGCAGATGCGTCCCAATTAAAAATATGTTAAAAAATCCATTTATAATAAAATTCGCTAGTATATAAGAGTTATTGTTCAAGATTTTTGATTTATTACAAAAATTAAAAACGTCTGATTTAATTCTTAGAAGTAATTTATCACCACAAAATTTCACAAATATACACACACACATACATACATGTATATATACATAAGGTATGCTATATTTTATGTTTACATACGCTCTATCCCTGATATCGAGCATTTTAACCCATAAATACATAACTAAACCGTACCTTAAAACTATATTTTAGTATATATATATATATATATATATATATATATATATATATATATATATATATATATATATATAGGCTCAAGCACTAATATTCCATGGTTATAATTTATTACATTGGAATCGTAATCACAATCCAATTCATCAGGCCTACAAATTATCGTGATTACGATTCCAATGTAATAAATTATAACCATGGAATATTAGTGCTTGAGCCTTTATATCATATTCTTGCTCTCTCCTGGACATTGAGCTATCTGGATTCTTTCCTCTTGGAAATTTATATATATATATATATATATATATATATATATATATATATGTAAAGATATATATATATATATATATACACGCGAACATCGATTAAGATAAATTTTCCTTTTGTCTTTATGCATATTATCTTTTTACATATACATTTTTGCTTTTATTTATATATGAAAAATTTTAATTGCATAACGGTCAGTCTATACTCAGCACCTGAAAATTGCGTTTTGCGTGAAACTCCGAGACATGCCAACGGTGATGAGTAATATGTATATTTATTAATAGATAATTAATGTCTATTAGATTACATTTATCATTATTTTTTTAACACCAGAACGCAATATGCGATATCGAACATTTGGATATTTTTATTAAGCTGTTCCTTGATCTAAGCTTTCGGCTCACATCAACCATTTTCAGAGTGGTTATATGGACATTTAAACAAAGATATTCACCATGAAAGATGATATTCGGTTATGTTGACATAGAAGATTGCTGTGCGACGAGAAAATAGCTAAAATTATTTTCTCAAACGAACAAAAATTAATAAATAAGCTCATCTCAAAATGCAGACACGAAAACAAATTTTTACTACGCTACTTAAAAATCGAAAACTAAAAACGAAGAAAAATAATAAATAAATAAATAAAAAAAAAAAAATAAATAAGTATAATGAATTAAACCAAATAAATAAATGAGAAAATAATTTAATAAAATGCTAAAATAATAACTAACTACGAATGCATGCATAAACACAATAATAACAATAGGCAACAAATAACAAGGCAGTCAATAATAAAGTTAACAAAACTGCATTCGGATCAACAATTATATCCTCTCAATATTTCCTAGAATAATTTGAAACAGCCGTTACCAGCCACGCAATAACCGTTCTAATAATCAAATAGATCAACCCATAGTGCATCACTGATGTGCTTATATAAATAGTAGAAAGAAAATACAATGCAATTGGCCTGACGATTCTGTTTAAGCATGAAACAGACTGTCGCCGTTGAGTATATATATATATATATATATATATAATATGTGTGTGTGTGTGTGTGTGTGTGTGTGTGTGTGTGTGTGTGTGTGTGTGTGTGTGTATTAACTAGTGGCCGAGTAATTAATGCGTTTGCAGTCCAGATTCGAATTTTACAATTATGAAATCACTGACAAAGTGACTTTATCATAATATCAGCCTTCAGAGACGATACCAGCGGACGGTACCGTTGGCGAGTGTCTGGAAACCAAAGTTGACCGAAACATTTTGATGGAAATTGTCCAAACATCTTGTTCAGAAACTGTATCAAGAAGTCATCGTGGCAGAGGTTTTTGAGCATACTGGTCCAGTTCAAACGACTGACCAAGCCAGATTATGCGCTCTTCCTTCAGAAACAAAGTTCAGCTCAACGTAGTTGGCGCATTAAGCACAGTTTGCTTCTGTGGGTGTTGATAGAAACGCAGGTGAATAATGTGCCTGGGTAGATGTCTCAAGTAGAGATTGGCTAACAGCCAAGTCGGGTAAATGAGAAACATTTCGACGGCCGAGACACTGGCCAGGAGGTCTGAAATATATCCAGTCAGGTTTATATTCACTCTCTAGTCTGTTTGAGAATTTTATACGCATATGAATTGATTGGCAGGGTAGGAAAGTACCTTCACACACACACACACACATATATATATATATATATATGCATATTCAAACAGGTTTGATTAAATAAAATAGACATACTCTGTCAATTAGCTTTCATTGTGATCCTTTCAACTTCGCGGACTACTTTCTTGGTAGCCTTAGAAAACTGAGTAAGAAAAATACCAAAATTTTCTTTCAAATAGTTTTTATTTTCCCAAGTACTTTCAATCTCATCTGAGACCATCTTCAGAGGGTTAAGTTATCTGTGAGTATGTATATGTGTTTCTGTGAATTTAAAATAT